GATAATAAATATAGAGAAAAACAAAAGTTACATAAATTTCAACATCAGAATAAATATATTTATAAACATTAGATGCTTACTAGAATTTGCAGCCTATTTCAATACATCTTTTAAAAAGAGGATTTCAAAATTGCAACATATTCGCAGATATTTGTTTTAAGAGATTAGATATTTTAATAGATACTACTCATTATCATAATTGGAATGAGTTAAAAAATTCATGAATGAATAAAAATATAGTACTCGATTTCCCAAATTTAAGGCTTTGAAGAAAGCATTTTTGTCTTGTGGCTTTGAAAACAGCTTGTATACATGTGTGAGTGTATATATATGCATACAATATATACATTTATAGATGAATCAATATTTGAAAAATTATTAACTGTATTCACTCCTCTATTTTCTTATTAAATTTACTGCTCAAAAACTGGATGGGAAAAGTAGGGCAGTGTGTACTATTTCTGAAGAGATGCCTTAATGATAAACATAGTACATTTAAAAATACACCTAAAAACACATTCCTGTTTTTATATTATGTATTTCAAAAGAGGTATTAATTCCAATAATATTCTTTTTTTTTCTTACATGAAATACTAGTTTACATTATTACCATAAATCAGAAGTTTCTAATTCATATGCTGAGAAACTAGGAAGAAAACTGCTGAGAAATGTGTGAGTAAATATGATATATAAAAACTATTAATGCAAAATTAATGTGAATAATATATATCCAAATATAATTCAAAAACCTGATAACTGTCCTGGCTGAACCTAGAAAAAGATAAAATTGCAAACTTTTGTTAATTATTTTGTATTTGTTTGAATTTGCATTCTCTTCCAAGATTGATTTATGCACACACACAATATTAGTATTTTAGATTTTAGCTTAATACAGTACAAAGTCCAAGATCCTGACTCATTGGGACTTTCGCAATTCTGGATATTAGATCATCAGTTTAAATCTAGTAAGATGGCATGTAGAAAACATAAAATTAAAAATAAGAAATCATGATTTATGAAATAATAATTTTATGATCTAAAGCATATCAAAATTTATCCCCTCCCCCCCCAAAAAAAGCTTAATGTTTATTTGTTTACTTTATTAAACATTTCTTTCTACATAAGTTGCTTCGTTTTTTGTGCTAATACTTTCTCTTTAATTCTGTAGACAGACTTAATTTCTTGTTCAGTTATATTGTTGAAGTCCTGTAATTGCTGTGTCAAGAATTCTGACTAACTTGTCAATCGAAATATTTTCATTGTCAGTAACCTCTCTGTCACTTTCTTCACTATCAGTAACAGTATTTTCTGGATCTAGAACCATACTACAGATTTCGCCATGCATTAATTTATTGATGTTTGAGGAGCATTGTCATCACAATGAAAAACTTCTTTTATACAGGGGTTGGACAAAAATATGGAAACACCTTTAAAAAAACATGTTTCTTTGCTTAATATGGTGTAGGAAACCCGTTGGCATCCAAAACAGCTTGCAGTCTTCTCAGAATGGATAAATACAGTTCCTGTATGTTTGCCAAGGGAATATTATACCATTCTTCCTGCAAAATGCTGGCAAGTTCAGATAACGATGTTGGCGGTGGACAAGAACGCACTTTCCGTTCCAATGTAGACCACAAAGGTTCGATAATATTCAGGTCTGGTGACTGTGGTGGCCAGGGGAGATGGGACAACTCATCCTCGTGCTCAGAAAACCAGTCCTGGACAATGTGAGCTGTGTGAACAGGGGCTTTGTCGTCTTGGAAGACACCATCACCATCGGGGAACAAAGTTTTGTACCTGGGATGAACTTGATCGGCCAAAATGTTCACATAAGTTCTTGGCAGCCATGTGCCCTGACACAGTTATCATGGGGCTAGCAGAGAACCACGATATGGCTGCCCAAACCATAACAGAACCCCCGCCATGTTTCACTCTTGGCAACAAGCAGTCTGTATTATAGGCTTGAGATGGCGTTCTCCAGACGTAAACTCGGCCAGAAGTGGGAAACAATGTGAAAGAAGACTCATCAGACCTATTACTTACTACTCGCTTCCACTGCTCTATAGTCCAGGCTTTATGACTTAAACACCACCTTTTCCTGTTACGGGCATTAGCATCACTGATGAGTGGCTTCTCAATTGCAGCAGGGCCAGCAATTCCCTGTTTATGAAGCTCCCTTCTAATTGTTTTGGTACTCACAGGGTTCGGTAACACATTCATTTCAGCAGTAACTTTTCCAGCTGTGGTCTTATTTTTCGTCACAATTGCCCTTAATGATCATCTGTCACGATCACTCAGGACACACTTTCATCCGCGCTGTGATTTAGCAGATGATGTTTTTCCGCTTTTCAAATATGCGGAATAAATCTTCGATACAGTACCTCTTGAAGCACTAAACACCTCGGCTACCTTGCTTACGGAAGCATCTACCATACGTGTGCTCCAACAATTTGCCCACGTTTGAAGTCTGTTAACTCTGACATAATGCAATGACAACCTCACATAACAATACTCCGACAACAACTGAACTGTTTAGCACATTTACGAAGTTGTATAGGTGGCGTCAGTAGTCAAAAATACCAGCGCCACCTACATATTTCATTAAAATCAATCTTTCTTTTCAAACATGCATTTCACAAGGTGTTTCCATATTTTTGTCCATCCACTGTATCACCTTCATTTATTACTGCTTCTTCACATTTCTTTACAAAATGCGTTAATTGGAAAATTTCATCTTTAGTTTGCGGTATCTAAAATCCTTTAAAATTTTCGTCCATCATCATAAAATTTAGTTATCATTCACTATACATATTTGGCTATGTATCATGAGATTGGCGACTAACGACAAGTTGTTCCACTAAATTTTATCTTGCTTCTATCGCCACTGAGACAATCAAGCCTAAATTGTATTATCTCAGTTATTTATTACACTTATGTCTTTCTTGCACATGCTTATCTGAGTCCTGAATAAATAAATTCCCAGATATATTTAAGGCTTATTGAGGGCCAGTGCTAGATATTTTACCGCATAATGCAGTCTCTGTCGGTCCTAAATTCTGCTACTAACTGCCTCCCTTTGTCTTCCCTAAATTCTGCTGCCCGATGCTGGTTCCCTGAATCATAAAAAACTTCTCATCCCTTAATTTTGCCTTTCTGTGCTTCCCAAAATTACAAAAATTTCGTCTTCTCTAAATTCTGCCATCCGGTGCCGACATATTTTGCCGTCGCTTCTGGTTTTATGGTGAATAACAAATCAGTTATTCTTAATTAAAATAGCACTAAATGTAATCTTTTGGCCTATGAAAGTATCATTAACAAAATGTATTTTTAGCATATGGAAAGAAATTGTTAAATTTTCCCTTGTCAATATTTTTAGTGCATTTAACTTAAATCTGTAATCAATGCCAAGTGTAATACTAATTCAGAAGTCAAACAACAAAAATGACAGACATTTATGTTGTAATGTCAACATAAAAGGTTACCATACTCTTTATTATTCAATAACATAGAAAAAAATGTTTAGGCGTCACTACATGAGTCATTACTCAAGTTGTCATGTGTTGATAAACATGCGGTGATGATTGCAAAATGTAATAAATAATGATTCGTCAGGAATATAAAATATTAGTAGGTGTAAAACCAATGATGTATCTATGTAGAATGTTTTGGTTTGACATGTAAGCCAAGCAGATACGCAGCAACAGAGCCAAATTATTGATCATACAAATTTATGCTAAAATGATTGTTTATTCAATAATGAGGTATTTTATTTAGTGCTGAAGTGAAATCAGGACTCTCCACATGTTTTATTATGCATGGAAAGGGGGAATCAAATGCACAGGGGTAAAGCATAAAAAAAAAATAAAGTTAATGGTGGCTTTGGGAGATTTTAGATCATTCCGGATATTGGACGTCAGGATCTTGGACTTTGTACTATAATGTGGTTTTCAAAAATGCAACTGATAAAAGTTTTAATTCAAAGAACTTTCAAACGGGTTGTTTTTCTTTTTGATATCCCATATCTTATGCAATGGTCAGCATGTTGAATTGCAAGGGGAAAGATCATGAGTTTAGGCCTCACTTGTAGCTTGTCCCATTCAAAGTGTTTTCCACTTCTGCGAATTTTGGTTCATCATTATTGTTTCTTATTTTTTTAATGTGTTTCCCATATTTAATCATGAATCATTTTATTCTTATTTTATCTATTATTATTATTATTTTCAGTTTAAATATGTGCACTGTGCATAGAAATCAGTAACAGTGTGTTCTGATTTATCTGCATGTATAAAAGCTCTCTCTCTCTCTCTCTTTTTTCTTTTTTATCTGACTGCCTATTTTATTTTGCACATACCTCTGCATAGTACATAACCCTAAATTTGTTTATGGCTACTAGCTTTCTTCTGCAAATTATGAATTTCATCAATTAAAAAAATAGCTAATGCATATTTTAAAGTTTAATTCTGCACTGCAGAGAATTCAATCAATTCTAATTTGAAGTTGTATTGTTATGCTGATATCTTTGCAAAGAAACAATTTTATAAAAGTATTATTTATTACTGTATATTTTTAAAGGGTATCAAAATTTGTAGATCCATTACTCTGACAATTTTCAACACTGATCTGCTAAATCTATATCTCCAGCATATTTACTATACTTTGAAAAAATGGACAGGCTCTCAGCCCCTTTTCTTATAACAACACAGTGTTATTCATTTTGACAATTTGTAAAAATATTAGGAATTCTCTTTTTTACCCAGCCAAAATGAACAAAGCATATTTGACAGTTTTACATTGCATGATTTTGTTAATATAGTACTGATTTTTGAATATTATTTGCTATTTTTGTATTGAATCACAATGATATTAAATAACTGTAAATGCAGCAAACATACACTTGAAAAATATATTTCATGGTTCTCAGATTTCAGTACTTTACTTTTCATAGTTACATCAAAACCATGGGATTCAAAATTCTTTTTCTCAAAATAAAATCTACTTACCATCTCCATTTTTGAAAATAATGGAATTGAATTTAAATAAACATTCTGCCATTGGATCAGGATTAAGCCAGACTAGCCATAATGGTCGCTTTGCAGAATCTAGAATTTTACAATCCTCAACACTGGGGGGGAAAAAAAAAAATTGAAGAGGATCCAACAGAAAAGGGTAAAAGGCTCCATCATATCAACAACAACAACAACAACAAAAAAAAAAAAAAAAAAAAAAAACCACTTACATTAAATTTCCTAAAACATGGTTATTGTTAAGAGGAGAAGGAAAATTCTGTAAAGCTTCTAGATAATCTGCCTGTTGTACTTGCTCATACAAAAATTTAAGCCTCTCCTACATATTAAAGAAAAGTGTTTATAGAATCAAAATAAACAAACATGAGAATTAAAATACACATTTTTTTTTTAAATACCATATACTGAATATAAGGCAAGAGTGCATTTTTCTTCAAAAATTTACCCAAACTTCTAAATCTGTGTATAAGCTGAAATGGAAAAAAATTCTGTAACGTTCAAATAGTCACGATGAGGACAAAAATGTAGCTACGGACGTAAAATTGGAATATTATGCAATCAAATCACCATTCAGGGTTCGTACTCATTTCTGCACAAGGAAATTAAGTACTTTTAAGGACCATTAATGAAAAAAATTAAGGACCTATGAGCAAATGGGAACTGAATAAATTCAATTAAAAATATTATATGTATGCCTGAATGTGAGTAGGATGCATTATTATTAAACATAACTTAATTAACATAATTATTAATATGTTTGAGAATAAAAATAATTTTATGAAATTTATTAAGTAGCATTAAATATTTTACACTCATAATAACTGCACATATTTGAAAGAAGATAAGTGACATTTAAGTTACGTTTTACTAAAAATTAGCCTTTTTTTTAATGTCTCATTTTGTCACATACTTGCTCAGTCTAGAGGTTCAGTAAATAGTAGTAGATTTTATGTCAAGCAGCATGTTAAATGAGCAGTAAATCATAATCAGCATGATCATAACAAAAGACTGGCTGTTGTCACCGCTCCTGCTTGCCTATAGAGAAACCTGCTGATCAGAACAAACATGAAAGGCCTGATGTAGGCACAGTTAGCAAGTTTTGAAAGTTAGCTGACATCTGTCTGGCACTGTTAGTCTCGTAGCTTCGTGTAGAGTTCCAGGGGTTGTAACTCAGTTAATATACTTTAAGGTTCTATTAAGCCACTAAAGCATTAGTGGTGATAAGTTGTTTTGAATTAAGTCTCACTAGATGCAAAGAATAAGTTTCACAAGAATTTTTATATATTTGTGTTTTACCTTGTGACCACGGTAAAGGTTTAACACGTTGAGCCCGGCACCGAATTTGCTGTCCTTTCCGTTCAGCCGTCGGCAATATTGCTGACTTAAATTATACAAAAAGGAAGGAGACGCACATAAAGTCCGAAAGTATTGTTTGAAATGTTATGATGACAATTCAAAACTATTTGGACGCAAGATAGCCAAAAATGTTACCAAAATAGTTGTTTCGTATTGTAATATATGTAAAACTAAGCCGTATTTTTGTTTAGAATGTTTCAATAAATTTCATTAAAACTACATTTGATCATATTTCATTGAGACTATACTTATTTTTTAACTTTAATACTGTCAGCCCTGCGAACCAACGCCAGCCAAACGAAATTTTCAGTGCCGGTTCCCAGGCACCGACGCCGGGCTCAGCGTGTTAACGAAAAGCAATAACTTGCTTTAATATAGAGAGATGATATTTAAGAGAATGCATTTAGATATTAGATAACCTTAGTCATTATGGATTTACATGGCCACTATTAAATTAAATTATTTTTTAATAATATTTGTTAAAAAACCCTATTAATATCACAATCTCATAAAATTTTTCACAGTTTAAAATACATGCAATTTATGACATTGATTTTTAAACAATATTAGGATAATTACACATTAAAAGCTACAAAACATAAAACTCAACAAAATAATTATGCATCTTTTTAATTTGAATTTTGACATTTTGGCTAATTTATATCGATTTCCTTCTCCTTAAGCATGTTTTCTGACAATTAGAAATTTGTATCAATATGCAAAACAATGTTCTCATTAGTTTTTGCATGTTTTATCTCCTAACTGCCAACCTCTCCACATTATACTACCTATGAGGGTTTACTTGATCTGGTAAACGTTAAATAGTCTGACCCTCCTTAATCAACAAAATAAAATTATCACTAAACAAATTATCACTATGTCTGAAAGTAACTATAAATCATATAATAAATTTAAATAAAGGTTTAAATAAGCTTCTTATTCAAAAAGAACTTGGAACATATAGGCCTGTTCTTATGCTAACAAAATTAATTACAGTTTGTGGTGATATAATTAAACAAGAAGAGTCAAATTCAAACTAAAAATATGGACTAGGGGTCAAAGACTATACAATTTAATTTCAATTTAATCTGGTTCAGTAACTCTATTGTCATAATAAACTCAAATGTCAGCAGCAGTAATGGAAAGACTAATAATTACAAATTACCAGAACTAATGCAGGGATTAAGTAGAGGTCAGAAACACACTCGTCTTACACTCCAAAAACTGTCTAAGTGATTTGCATTCTGGTCAGTAAATAGAAATGGGAAATTATAGTAAAGGCTGAAACTGTAAATAACTGGGTAATTTACATAATAATAACTGTACATATCTTTGAAGAATAATTTTCCTTCTCTTTACATATTTAGTTTCTTTTTTCAACACGTTTCCTTTTCACTTTAAATTTTTGGGATTTAATTAGACTTCTGTTATTCTAAAAGACTAAATGCATTTAGAATGTATGGAAAAAGCTTCTAATTTTATTTCTTTAGTAATACGAACATTCAGAAGAAATATGAAATATGTATGGTCAGTCACAGTCTGGTCACAGAGCTGGTGTGGCATAATTTTTAGAATTTAGGGACACACTGAGCAACAAAATCTAGAAATGGCAAAACTTTTAGAATTTAGAGCAGGGATTGGAAGCAGAATTTAGGATCCGCAGAGACTGCGTAAGGTGGCAAAATGCCTAGCGCCAGCTCTGTGTATGATGCATTAAGACATATTAGATGAATCTTTTGAATTGTCAGTTTTCAATTTCTTTATTAATAAAAAAATTCCTTTCTATAATGCCTGTCCATATGATAAAATTAGAAGTACTTTTGATATTTTCCATACTCGTATCTAGTGAAAAGTAGAGAAAATAAAGGAAAGATAAAAAAGTTTAGACAGCGATTCTAGAATCAGAAGTAAAACATTCAACTATTATGTTTTCATTGTTCTTCCAGATGTTCTCCAAAATGTAAGAAACTGCGTGTTACTACCATGGAGATATTTTTCATTTTATCACATTTTTCTAGAATCCTTTAGAATCCTGGGTCTGTAAATTTGCCTTAAAATCTTTCTAAACTTTCCAAGCTTCAATGTCTAAAATCCTAAAGAAATATTACCCCTACCAATTCTGTGACAGCAAAATGGCAGAAATGTTTTTTAAAAAAATCGGTGGGAAAAGTGTGAAATTAATTTTATAGAGAAAACTGATGCATTTTCTAAGAATTCTGATCATTCTGAGAAATTGGAAAAATTCTTACCATGAAAAAATTTAAAAGACATTTTTAATTAATTACATAGCTATTTTGCTTTTGCTAAAAACTGTTTTGTAAACTGTGGTTTATAGCATTATTCCTTGCTTATTTTTCAGATTCAAAAAACTGTATAATATGTGCCAAAATGGAACTTTATACAGTCAAAAGTCGTTAATCCGGACTCGTCGGGACTTCGGCGATTTGGATTATCGATTTTTCCGGATTATAGATCATCAGCTTAAATCTCGTAAGATGGCATGCAGAAATTCTAAAATTAAAAATGTGAAACCGTAATTTATGAAATAAAGAACAATTATGATCTAAAGGGTATCAAAATTTACAAAAAAAAAAAAAAAAAAAAAAAAAGAAAGCTTAATATTTATTTGTTTACTTTATTAAACATTTCTTTCAATGTAAGATGTTTAAGTTGCTTCGTTTTATGTGATAATACTTTCTCTTTAATTCTATAAACAGACATAATTTCTTGTTCAGTTACAAAGTTCCGCTGTTCAAGTCCCGTAATTGCTGTGCCGAGAATACTGACTAACTTGTCAATCGAAATTTTTTCATTTTCACTAACCTCTCTGTCACCTTCTTCATGTCTTTATCCATTTTTTGCAGCAATTCCACTTTTTGTTTGATGGACATCGAAACATACTTTCGTTTTGTAGATCCTTTGGGAGCTCCAGCATCAGAAATTCTATTTGACATAATCGAAAGTTCAAGTTTACTTTTATAAAATTGCTCTTACAGTCTGCAAAAAATAATAAGACGGATCCAATTCGAAGATTAAGGAACAACGCAATCATCAACATTAACTGAAATAGATAATTAGATAATTTTAGCTTATACCATCCGTTATACATAAAACGAGCACGCCAAAATGTATTCTGCGCTTGCGCACACGCATATGAGCTGTCGATAAAGGTCTTACGCGCACGCGTAAACGCCTATGCGCATGTGCAGAAAGTTTTTAGCTTTGAGGTCCAGATTATAGAACATTCTGGATTATGGGTGTCCGAATTAACGACTTTTGACTGTGATAATACAGTGAAAAATAAAAATGCTTTATTTTAATGTTATTTCTTAAATATAATTCCAATATATTACCATTATTTTAATGAAATTTATCATTGTTAGAATGTTCTAAAAAAATACATCAAAAAATTTCCCTGATCCCGGAATTAAAATTTTTCTGTAGAAACCGATCTTATAATCGCCAAAATGTTGATAATCACCAAATTTAGAAACGTATAATAAAAGAATTCACATCCCCTAAAAGCGAAGTTATTTGAGAGCTCTTCATTACAAAAAAATGAAATAATTTTGAAATGCATATGTTTCACTTCTTGCTCAGAAACTCAAGTATCCCACATCATTATTTATATTACAAATAAGAACAAATTATATCTCATGAACCCATTCAAAAATAGCCATATATGTCAGTGAATCGCTCAAAATATTCCTGTAATATGCTAATTCACACCCAAAATGGCAGTCGGCAGTCGTAAAAACAGACAGAAATTTCAGATGATTAAAATTAAGGACCTTCTGCCGATTTTGGGCAAAATTAAGGACTTTTAAGGACCAAAAATAGATTCCAAAAAGCTTAAGGACTTTTAAAGACTCTTAAGGGCTGCACGAACCCTGCCATTAAGTAAAATGCCAATGACAATACTTTTAACTCTTGTAACCCTCCCTTTTTTTTACGACTGACAGCTTACTTGGGGAGCGAATCAATCCTAGGTTAGCACATTTTCCTCATTTGTTTTGTTCTCCTGCATATGAATCTGTGCTCTTTTTTTTTTTTTTTTTTAATCTGAAAGATGAGTGGAAAATTCTTATACAGCATATTTCAAACTACAGATGATCACATTTGCTGAAAATGCTAACAATGACATGGTTGTACCGTATTTCTCCTAACTATAAAACAAGTTTTGGAATGAAGGGGTCTTCAATTAGCGGAGATGCCAAAATCCTAAAAGACAGCACATAGTTTATTTCCATTAACAGAGCACAAATTTCACCAACATCAGATTTTTCATTTTGACAATTACACTACAAACCAGCCTTTTTTTTTGGGGGGGGGCGAGATAAGCGGATCCATATATAACAAAACCCCTCAAAATTTAGGTTTAGAAAAAGTTCCAAAAATTCTTGGTTTATATACGGAAATATACAAGACACATCTCAGCAATTATTTAATATAAGTAATTTTTATTTAACAAAGAGTTACACTTTTCTGCAATAGATAATCACTTCATTTCTGATATCTGATTTTATTATCATTAATTGCACACAGCAAGACTAGAAATCTGTAAACTATTTCAAGGAAGATAAGTTTTAAATATTTAATACTTTGGGAAGAATTTGTGTTACGACTTTCATTACCTTATAATTCCAGCTGCTTAAGTGCTGTAGTGCTCAACTGATAAGTTTCCATATTAAGTGGGCTCAGATTTGAACCTCAAAAAAAAAAAAGCCTGAACATTTGTGACTACAGTGTGTATGCGAGTGAACACGAAGGAAGGCATCAGTCTAAAAACCTTCTAAAGAAATTGGCAGTGGGTATAAATATAACCACCCATTATTCAAAAGGTCTGTTTATATAGTTAATACAAAGACTTATGAAACATAAAAACAAGATGATGATGATAATGCATTTACATGAATCTAATTTGCATCTCTGTCTTTTGCCATATTGCTATAAAAAAATCTAGAAAGTGCATTTATAAGTGAACACAAGGGAAAAAAAAAAAAAAAAAATCATGGTTTTTGGTACAGGACGAAAATATAACATTCTTATTTTTACTCAGGTATATTAGAACATAAAATAACCATACAGCATTAAAAAGTACACAGATTTGCTTAATTCATTCTAATGTAGAAACGTTGGTACTTTTCCTTATTATTATGGCTTCTGTTTTCTAAACTCCAAGTTCATGTTTACTTCTTATATATATATATATATATATACACACACCCACTTTGTGGCTGTTATGTTTTTGCAATTGCTTTTATTATGGCATCAGAAGCATTTGGACATTCATATGAACTTTGCAAGGTAAGAATCATGAGGATATCGAATTGTGCCTCAATTTTTATTCTGCCACTGAGTGGAGCACCACAGTCTTACATTTTCTATATGAGCAGCTAATACTGAATGCACAAAATGAAATTTAGGGTTCACAATAAAATATCTCTAACTTGCTTTTTCCATATTCTTTATCTTACATGCTCATCAATAGTCCGAATAAATCATCAATCTCTTTTATACATGTTGATGATTTTTGCCATGACCATCATTGTCTCTCTATTCAAAGCCTGAGCAAAAAAGAATTTGCCAGTTTCTCGGCATAACCTGCCAAATATTCAGTACTGTGGGAGAATTCTGCTGCTGTTGTTTTTTTCCCTGTTCCAACAAATTTTCACTCTTGTCCGCAATTTCTTGAAGGCTATCTATTTACTTATTTGGTTGTCAGATTAGATATAAAGAATACACCTCACATAAAACTGTTCTAATCAATAGTACTTTTATAATGGCTGAGTTGTTTCTTCCATCGCTTAACTGAGGTCAGTCCTTCTGCTCAATAGTTATACAGTGGCCCTTGAGATATGAGCAGCTCTGTATATGAGAAATTCAAGATACGAGGAAAGTATGAGCGAAAAATTTGTCTCTAAATACGAGCATCGACTCGAATAACGAGCAATGAGCTACGCTGTTGGTATGTGTGGTGCCATTTCCCGATCTGGCTCGAATTAAGAAATCCCCTCGTCAGATTACTACAGTGTTCTTTGATTTACAAGTTTGTGCGGTCGTGAGCTAATTGTTTTTTACATTTAACGTGAAAATTTTTTCACGATGTTTTCCAAGAAGATTGTTGCCTCAGATAATGCTGCAAAGAAAAAGAAGGAAACTATGACCATTGAAATTAACAAAGAAATCATAGATAAACATAAGCGTCATGTAAGAGTGACAGAATTGACGAAGACTTATGGCTGTTCGACATCGACGATCTGCATTTGTCTCTTTTACAGAATTTAATATTTTATCTCAACCTGACCATCCGTATAAACTATGTTTACTTGATAATAGCTGTGACCTTTTATTTGAGGCACATCCATCTTGGGTGCCTTCTTTTCCTGTCAGAGTTCGGCTCCTCATTGAAGAATTCTCCCTGTCTGATATGTCCTCACAAGCAGTACAGCATTTTGAAATCGCACCTTGGGAAAATGCACAAAATCCAGTTTTTTGATATTTTCCACAGTTACATCAAAACAACTACTAATGAGAGCATCTACAGACAAATTTTTGCTGAGCACAGGCATAGTTACTGGAGTTATGTTTCCATATATACGGATGGATCAAAGCTTGCCATGTTGGAATGTCATTTATAATTGGTGACCACATGAAAGGCAGACGTTTACACGACGCTTCCTCTGTCTTAACCTCCGAACTGACTGCCATATATTATGCGCTTTTGTACATCTCAACGCTGCACCATAGAAAATTCATTATATATACAGACTCCTACAGTGCATTGAAAGCTTTAGAATCCTTTTCTACCACCGAGAATCCTGTGATAGTTGAAGTTGAATATTAAGTTAACAAGTTGTGGCAATGAAATTCTATACTGCTGGGTTCCCGGACATACAGGAATAAAAGGCAATCAGCTGGCGGACATCACAGCGAAATCTGCTGTTGAAATGTCCAGCCACCTCTTCCCTTTTAGAGATATCTGTTGTGTAATCAAGGAGAAGATCAGAAAAAAATGGCAGCAGCTTTGGGACATTCAACTTCATAACAAGTTGAGAAGGGTGAAGCCTAAAATAGAGCATTGGGATACTACTAGCAATCACAAGGAGGAAGTTCTTTTGACTTGCCTTAGAATTGGTCACACTAGAGTGACACATAACTACCTTCTGAATGCTGAGAACAAAGCCTGTTTGTGCAAACTGTGTCTCTCAGTCCATCACATTTTAATTGAATGTCCATATTTTAATAGTCTTCGTGAGAAGTATTTTAATAGCTGCAACCTGCCTCTCGACCATTTAATTGGAAGAGAGGTCAATACCAATGTGTTTCACTACCTAAAAGAAACAGGTTTCTATTATTTAATTTGATTTTTGTCTTGAGATTTTATATTAGAATTTTAATGAATCAGATGTTTTAGGATTTTATATCTATACTGCATATCTCATTATCTGAATCATAATCAGCATTTTCATCCCACCATTTCAATATCTTTTTACTTGCCTCGATTTTAAAAGTGTGCTGTTGTCTTTAGACTTTTTTCTTTACCTAAAATCTATACTTTAGTTTATATGTTGAAAAACAAATCCTGTGTTTGGCGCATATGGCCTGTAGAGCTTTGCGCCATAAATCTACTACCACCACCACTACTGTATAAGCTGTTGTGCTGTTACAAATAGTATTTTGAAACCACTGAACCAGTTGTGAAAACATATGCTTTTCTTTCATTTGCAGCTTTCTCACTGCACCTTTAAATGCTTTCATTGATATACAGTTTTATTTAATTGTTTTTTGCATATTCGAATGTGAAGTAAAATGCGTCTTTCTTGGAAGAAATAAACAAAGGAACTACAATAATGTGTGATTTACTTGGATCTCTCGTTACAGGCAAATTATAAATGATAGTTATCAGGACTTCCAACCATTTGAAGATGGTTTGTGTTGGCGTGTTTTTGATAATCTTCGTGCTGCTTAGAAAATGAGGACTGTAATAATAAGGAAGTACCAAAAAATTTAGTACCAACTTCTAATTTTTTGTTTCATTTATAATAATATGAGGAAAAAGCTTGGTGGCTTGTTATATATTGTGATCTTATGGTGCCAAGTTAAAGCTGTGAAAATTTTTATTTACCAAAGCTGCTGAGCACTGCACCTTGGGAACAGAACTCAAGTTGGTTGGGAACACAAAGTTATAAAAGGGCACTAATAAGATACAAAGTGCACTCAGTACTAGAATCCTTCTTGGTGTTAACGTTGGTTGATTACAAGTCACATCACAGTCCTCCAGGAACATACTGGAAGGCAGTACTGGAAGATACAGCTTGTTATCAGGATTGATCCCTTGTTGCCATGAGCATGGCTGCAAACCTTGATCATTGATGTGATTGATCTTTGTATTGCAGGGCTGTAGCTCTAATCCATAGGCATGCCTTGTTGTACTATGTGACATGCCATGTAGTTTCATGATGTTGGTTTACTTCCTAGATGGGTGCAGGTGTATATTCGATCACCAATGTGAGGGATCACCAACAAAGCTTACTTGCTGATCATATGGCATGGTTCTAGCACTGCCATTTTGTGATAAGGATATACTATAAAAGTTTTACCACATTTGTGACTTTAAGGATGTATCCTAGGCTGATATGTTTGAATCTTGTAAGTGTACCATAAGATAAAATGCATTCCTAATTCTGGGACCAATACTTGGATTTCTTTCTCAGTATAAGTGTTAATTATTGCTGGTCAGTGCTCAACAGTTTCTTAAAAATTCTAAACTAAAAAATTTGGGGGGATGGGAGAGAAAGAAACATGAAAATTTTAGTACTTTTAGTTACTTACTTTCTGTGTATCATCTTTTCTTTCTTTTAGTATATCAGTCAATTTTGTGAGCTTTTCAAGGGCTTCAACCTGCCTTACAATGGATTTCAAATGTGAACCAACACCTCGGCAATATGCTTCCAAAAGTAAACCAAAACGTGTAGCTATTGCAGGATCATGCATTTCTGACCTGCAGTTGTTAAAATGATGTAGTCAAAATAAAGAGCTATATAATTTCATGAGAAATATGATAAATACACAGGTAGTTAAAACCAAAGTAATGATATAATAAAGCATATACAAAATCTTACTACATACAATTTCAAAATAATTCTTTAATGTGTGTCTTCACAAATATGTTTACAAAATTTGAGGATAACTTGATATAACTTGGATGCAGTTTAAAAGAAAGCAAATAGAGCAGTTTCTTTATTTGTTACCATTAAAAAAGCATACCGATATAAAAATTTATTAAAAGTATTTAGGCTAAATATTAATATAAAAAATTTCTAAATCAGGGATGTCCAACCTGCAGCGCACTCTAAAATTTTGTGGCCTGCAGTGGAATTCATGAAATTTGTGAAATGCAGCATAAGACATTGTGAGTGCTATTGGATCAACTTATGTCTGTAAATCTTCTTTTTCCCACTCCAAAAATGAAATTTTTTAGATTTACAAAATATAAATCACAGGCATTTTCAACTGACAAAAACCTGCAACATAAATTACAATGTATTAAAATAGACTTGGGGGGGGGCAACTAAGTGACAGAAAACAAATAAATATTGCACTTATTACAGTACATATAATATAATTCACTTGTTTTATGAGTTATTATCGTTATAATTCTTTATGTATAGTCATAAATGTTTAACTGTTATACAGTCAAAAGTCTTTAATTCGGACACGTCAGGAATTCGGCGATTGCGGATTATCGATTTTCCCGGATTATACATCATCAGTTTAAATCTGGTAAGATGGCATGCAGAAATTATAAAATTAAAAATATGAAACTGTAATTTATGAAATAAAGAGCAATTACATTCTAAAGGGTATCAAAATTTACACAAAAAAAAAAAAAAAAAAAGCTTAATATTTATTTGTTTATTTTTTTAAACATTTCTTTCAACAAAGCATACATTATGCATAGTCGAAATCAGAAAATTGTAACCAGAAAACTATCTGTTGTGTATTCGTGATATTTATAATGACGAGGAATTTTATTTAAATCATATCAAAGACGGAGTACATCGAGATGAAATACTACATTTAGTAAGGAATTATAAGCCGAGTAAAATACAAACATCTGCCTTGAAGATAAGGATAGTGCTGACAGATCAACTTCCAGTTCATTGAGCGCCACTACGCCCCCCCCCCCACAGAGCAGCGTGAAATTGATAAACAGATTTTGGAATGGTTAGAGAAACAAAGGAGCCTTTATTTCATTTTTTGCAGCAATTCTGATGCAAAAGCAAAGTTTAAAGTTGTAAAAACATTTAGCAGAATTAACAATAGAAACTCCCTAAGGTTATATACTGTGCAGACATTGAAGACAAAAGTTTTAAACTTAACCAATTTAGTAACAATATATATAAAAGTACAATAAATAACATTTAATCCACACCAGAAACTTAAAGAGTGTAACATTATCATTATCAAAAATTACACTTAGTTGATTATTCACTAACTCCAAGGGTTTTTTCCTTTAAAGAAGATTACACTATTAATGATACAGTAAATATTTTACCTGATCTTTATATACTGGCATTCAATATGCAAAAAACATATCACAGAACAGAAACTATGCGGTTATTATGAAATTCACTTCACTATCAATAAGTCCATGTTTTGTGGTCAGGAAAGCACCTGAAAAATTAAACTAAATCCTTGAGTGCACTTAAACTGGCGAAAGCTGCTCACTGTAATTACACACGAGAAATCACAGCTTAGAAAAACATCGCCACTAGTCCTAGAAAAACATTTGTATTGATGCCGCCCACGGCAGTTGCTCACTGGAAATCACAGGTTGGAATCTATTGCCACCGAACCGTAGAAACAGGATGCCGCCCACGGCAGTCACTCACATCGTAGCCACTTTTCAGAATCCAGAAAAAGTCATCTTCGGACCAGAATCACGGCACTAATCGCAATATCGTCTTCCAATAGGGGCTGGAACGGCACACCATGGAGCAATGGAACAGGAACCAGAAGGAACAAGACAGAGCAACGCAAGATACTTATACCTGAAGTAGACATGACGTCATCTCACGGCAACCAATCAGCTATTGGCACGACTCAGCTTTCCAGATGACGTAACATCAAGTTTCGTTTTTGCATCTTAATTAGGCTGGAACAGTCTGTTCTTAATAGACACAGTGGCAGTGAAAAAGAAGTAGAAGTAATTGCTGTATCCCTTTAAAATAAGAACTAAACCTTATGTAAAAGTTAGAATTATTTCAAGGAGGAAAGATGATGCAGAAAAAGGGATACAATACAGTAGGGATTACAATAGGTCATATTTTCGAACAAATTTCACTTTTTGTTTGATGGACATCGAAACATGCTTTCCCTTTGTAGATCAGGCATTGGAAATTCTATTTGACATAATCGAAAGTTTCAACTTACTTTTATAAAATTGCTCTAACAGTCTACAAGAAATAATAAGCTGGATCCAATTCGAAGATTAAGAAACAACGCACTCTGCAACATTAACTGAAATAGATAATTAGATAATTTTAGCTTAGCTTATACTGTCCGTTATACATTAAACGCGCATGCGTATACGTATTATGCACATACGTACACACATGTGCACAAGTGTAAAGGTATTACACGCATGCATCAACACAAACGCACAAATGCGCAGAAAGTTTGTAGCTTTGAGGTCCAGATTATGGGTGTCCAGATTAACGACTTTTGACTGTATTGTTAATTTATTTATAATAATAATAATATATTCTAATTTAAATTTTCATTTAAAAACATTTATATACAAATTATATAAAATTTATATATTTATATACATATGTATAAGATATAAAATATGAAACTTAATATTATAACTTTAGCAATAACCCCCTATAATTTTTCACTTTAATCTGTATATCTTCCTTTTATGTTCTAAAAGTAGAAATTGTTTATAATAACTTTCTAGACTGCATCTTTCAAAATTAATTCGTGTCATGTTTTCTTAAGGAATCCTACTGCAATGCGTAAGCTCTTATCCTAACAGATTAAATAAATTTTTTAATATTGATAACACTTTGCTGATGTGTATTCCATTTTTCTACTTTGCTCGCTGATGCTTAGATGTGCTGCATGCCTCTGCTGTCCACTATTTGAAAATGTAAGCTGTACAACACTGTGTGGGTGTATACCGCACACATAATAATGTATGAATCTAATACTGCATCTGTAGAATTGTTTTATCCAGCAATAAAATTATGCTGAATTGAGCCGCATCTGTGTGCAAGCCCATCATTCCATCTATGCATTTGAAGCCTCTCCAAATACTTAAAATGCAGATAAAGATCTCAACTTTAACAGCTACTTCTCCAATCATCTCATTATATATATATAATGCAGGCCATGAAGACTTTTGGGTTGGATAGGCTTGTTCTAAATAAACATATAAATGTCAGAAATTTATAATTCTTTATTTACTGTTATTATTAAACGAATCATTTCATCTCTGCCATATCTCCTTATTATATTTTCTTCTTCAGCTACAGAGAGAATACAAATATGAGTTACACTAAAAGTAATTACTAACTGTTCTAAAAATTTCAGAATTCAAAATATTTGTCATGTATAAGAAAATATAAAAATTCTCTGAAAAATATCAATTAAAAAAGTAATTCTATCATGAAAAATTAAACAGTATTCCATTATTAATTACATGGCATCAAATAATTAATTGCAGGTTTTTTTTTAATATTACAAAATTGTGTTTCTAATTTTGAAATTTGTAATATATAACAGTAATAAGACTTTTATATATTTGTTCACAAATTTAAACTTCATAAATATTTGAAATAAATTTTAACATTTTGTTGAGGTAATAAAAGATGTAAAAGGATCAATTATTGCATATCAGCATTACTAACTTCAAATGCCAGAAAAAAAAGTGCCCAATTTTTCGGTTCGAAAGAGCCCTTCTGATGAGAAGTTTAGCAAGGTTATTATCCAAGTAAGATTCATACTTCAGAACCTATACAATGAAAAAAGAAAACATACATTTGTATGCTAATTTTAATTCCAAGAAAAATTAATTCATTTTTGTGAACATTAGTATAATAGTTTAAAAAGACTAAGCCAAAGTACCTAGAAATATTTCATAATTTTTTTTATATAAGTATCTACAAAGAGATCATAAAGATCACTGAACACTGCTATTTTATCTTAGGATTCAGTCCTGGCAAAAGAGCTAGCTGTGTGGGGTCCGTCTTTTCCATGTGCAAAGTGAATACTTACCAGTTTGTCTTCGAACTCCCTTCATGCAGACATTCTTCTGCATGCAGAGAGCCCTTGCATGCTTTGTGTGATCTATTGATCAAGCAACTGAAATAAAAAACTGAGAATGATATATTCCCTTTATTATCAACTGTACTCTGACATCACAGCAGGAAAGTCATATGCGACTAAAGCACATATTACTATTTAATTCTGTTTTTGTAGTTTTGTCATCAGGATTTATATCTGCAGAAACACACAGGTTCAAAACTATACTTATATCTTCTGATATATCTTCATTAATTAACAATACATTTTTGAAATGTTAAAGGTGATTACATGAAGAAAATTCTGACATGTTGTATTTCAGAAACAAGGATATTTGCTTAGAAATTAAAAAATATATTACACTCCGAGAAGTTTCTCTGAGTTCTCTAAGGAATTTCAAGAATTAATTGAATACTGTAAATGCAGTAACATAATAAATAAAGTATAATATGAATGACAGTTTTATGTAAAACGTTTATCAAAATAAGTTTATGTAAAATGTTTATTAAAATAAGTTTTCAAACAATTATGTTTAAAGCAGTGAAACTTCCTTGAAATTAAATATAAAAGGTATTTATTTAAATACCTGAACCAACTGAAGTAAATATTGTGACATCAGATCATCGGTAAGTGTTGAATCGAGCCAAAGCACAGCATGTTCACGAACAACTTTATCAGCATATTTACAATCAAGTAACTCTAATGCAACTTCAGGTGATACTTGTGGCCATTCCTTAAAAAGGACATATATCTATATCGAGAGAAATTTAAAAAAAAAAAAAAATATTTTAACAGGGTTAATGTAAGTCATATATGTTCAGTACAGGATATACTAATCTAAACTAAAAACTAAAGTCAGTGGCACAACAGCCCTAGTGGGCCAAAGCATGATCTTTGAGAGGGAGAAGGCTATGACACTTTATAAACATGGCAGAGCTTTCCGTCCGATGTTATCGTCAGAAAGTCATCTGGATTTTTAAATTTTCATCGGAAATATAACTTTATCCTGTTGCTTAGTTAATTAAAATAGCTGAAAGAAAGGAGGCTTTATATACATTATTTTCTTTAACTTTTTAGGCTTTTTACAGATATTTTAATTAACTTTGTGCATAAATATAATTGAGAGAACCAAAGAACAAACGAACATTTTACAAAAATTTAAACGCTGATTGAAAATTGCCACTGTCATGATAAATTGGGAAGGGGTTCTTTAATAATTAATATTTTACCTAGGCTCAAGTATCAATTTATTTGCGTTTCAGAGCAAAATATATAACCATCAACTTCTATATCTCCTTGTAAATAAATTAGCTAATAAATGTGATAAAAATATTTCATGCAAGAAACATACCTAAATCTTATAACAAAAAAGCCTTCCAACATTCATATTTCAAATGAAATAACCTAACAAGCAACATACACAACTGGCAATAAAAAAATAATAAAAAGCATATAAATGATAATCGTAATTCCCGTTATCCTAAAATTTAGAAACAAAAAATATGTATATACACCTGCATATGATTGGAAGAAATGGTGTTAAGAAAATCAGCATTACTACTAAATATTGTAATTCATAATTATTGCATTTTTAATCATATAATATTTAAAAAACATCAAATTTTACATTAAGTGCAAATTGCAGTTCTGTTATTTTTCTCTTGGAATTTGTAATATATCTCTTGGTATGAATACGAGTGTTGCAAGTTATGTTTTTTAATTATTACATTTGAATACATTCCATTTTCATTGTTAATTTTTGTACATGCTTGTGATAGCAATAAAATTCATGATAAATGGGAAAAAACTTTTTGTTGTGTGCTATTTAATGAAGAGCAGATTTAAATGTGCAGTTCTTACTATTGTGTATATTATTCAAATAATTTCTGCACAGTATCCAAAGGAATGTTATTGATTTGAAAAAATGAATAAAATGGCCATGAGAATCTGCCATTGTCTAAAACAAGTGTATATATATATTTACATATGATCGAGAGAAATGATGTTAAAAATCATCAGCATTGCTACAAATTATTGTACTTTTTACAGCTTGCTATTTAAAAAATACTAAAGGATTTTTTTATTAATTGGAAATAGCAGTTTTGTTACTTTTTTCTGGTAACTTTCAAAAACTGCATAGTTTTTGTGTTTTTTTTTTTTAATATTGTCACATACACTAAATATGCCAACATACACTATTTTAAAATATTTAAAATAGTTTTTTTAATATTTTAAAATAGTGTATGTTGTTTGTTAGGTTATCTCATTTCAAATACGAATGTTGGAAGACTTTTTTGTTATAAGATTTAGGTACGTTTCTTGTACGAAATACTTTTATCACACTTATTAGCTAATTTATATAGTATTTCATTTACATACGTTGGAGATATAGAAGTTGCTGGTTATATATTTTACTCTGAAATGCGAATAAATTAATACTTGAGCCCAGGTAAAATATTAATTATTATCTTAAGAACCCCTTCCCAATTTATCATGACAGTGGCAATTTGCAATCAGCATTTAAATTTTTGTAAAATGTTCGTTTGTTCTTTGGTTCTGTGAATTATATTTATGCACAAAGTTAATTAAAATATCTGTAAAAAGCTAAAGAAAATAATGTATATAAAGCCTCCTTCCTTTCAGCTATTTTAATTAACTAAGCAACATGATAAAGTTATATTTCCGATGAAAATTTAAAAATCCAAATGACTTTCCAACGATAACATTGGACAGAAAGCTCTGCCATGTTTATAAAGTGTCATGGCCTTCTCCCTCTCAAAGATCACAGCCAAAGCCAGCAGTGTCCTGAAATCTGCTTTCTTTACCGTGGGCTCTGAGATGCATAAGCATATGCCCTGAACAAGTGGTCAGCTTGTCGCAGGACCCCAGTGTTTAGTCCCCAAGTGAACTTGGTACTCATTTTATCGACCCAAGGGATGGAAATCGAGGGTTGAAAGGCTGAGTTGATCTTATCCAGCCCAGGGATCGAACCCAGGACCTGTGGTGCTGCTGTGCGATGCACTAGCCACTGCGCCATCAGGCCTCGGATATACTAATCAGTATTCTGTAATTTGCTAATTATATAAAATGCTTTAAGCAGTGGTCTCAAATTGCATGCAAGCTGGAATGCGCAATCTGAAAACAGCTAAAAAGGCAAATCTTTTTTAGGGGGAATGAAAAGTTTTTTTTAACCTGAATTTCATTTACTAAATATTTATCAAAACGTACATAAACAGAATAAACAACAATGAATGCAAAAGGAAAAAAAAAATTATATTTATTTTTTAAAGGTATCTGAAATCTAAAGGAATGCAAGATATTTCTGTTGATTATGTTTTATAAATTTATTTTTATTATTTAATATTGACTTAAAAATTAAATTTTCAGTCTGACAATTATTCCAAATAACTTTAATATGTTGAATTACCACTAAATAACTTACTTACACTAAAAATAAATCACAAATTTTATAGTGGGATAAAACTCGAGAATAAATAATGACTGCCTATTCACATTTTTTATTCACTAAATTTTTTCTTAATGCAGAAAAAATACATAATTTGTATGTAAGTAATTATAAACTCTTTCATTTTTTACCACAACTTTCAACTACACTACCTCATGGCATTTTGATAAATTTGTAACCTTGGAGAAAAATTACTAAACTTTTCATCACAAATTGTATACCAATGCTCATTGGTAAATTTTTTAAGGACTTACTTAATTTTCAACTATCAGGAAAAAAGAAAGTTCACATATAAATAACATATTCCCAAAAAGTAATTATTCTTATGACAAAACTTGCAACTGATGGTATTTATTCCTTGACAAGTACAGCAGAGGGCTAATCAAATCTTTATATTCAAATCTTTGAATAAGATTTATACCACAGTATAAATTAATTAGCTTCATTTGCAAATCTTCAGGGACATTGCTCATGTTTGTTTTTAATGGTAATGATATTCATATAGAACTGGACTTCAAATCCTTAAAACGTTTTCTTCAAATTCTTGTCATAATGGTGCTAATTAATTTATGGGAAATGTATTTAGTGGGCTGTGTAATACTGCTTCAGAAGCTGTATGTAGACCAATGGCTTTATGCACATATCAAATTTATAATATTGTTATGAAATGTACAAACACGATAAAATAGCTTTCCCGCAAAGCAGTTTTAGGGTTGCCATAAAATGGCAAGGAAAGTCAGGGTTGCCACATTTGGAGAGAAGATGATGGGCGTTTGCCAAACGAAATTAGCGATATGCCATGGATGGATGGAGAACCTTCTGGAACAAATTCTATCCGGTTTAGCACAGAATGTTCTCGAACACAAGCTGAAAGCTATATAAACCTTGCTGGTCCACAGTCAGTGTGTGTCTCGAGAGTGTGAGATAGTGTCCCGAGTCAATCAAGTTGACAGCTGGGCAGTGGGTCGCCGAGTGCATCAAAGAGTCTTTTAGTGTATTGCGGTTAGTGCATCGTCAAGAGAGTGTGTTAAGCTCCGGAAACGACTGAACCGAAGAGTCGGGAGCTGTGCTCTGTGTGTCATCGAGTGCATCATGAGTTGTAGTGTGGAGAGTCTCGAAAGTACGTGGAGTTCCGAGAATGACCGAGCAGAGTCGGGAGCTGTAGTCTGGTGCTTTGCAGTGAAGCTGTGTCGCTGAACGTGTCAGCGTGTTTATAACAGTTTGACGAGTGTAAAAGTGATTTTGGAGCTGTACTGATTAATATTGGTAAATAAAGTGTGTTTTGATATTTCATCAAGTAGTGTCATCATTATTCACTCCAAATCCATACGAACCCCTTACGAACATGAAGGAAGAGAAGAAAATAACTGGTCAGAAGAAAATAATGTAACATTATTATTTACTACTAAGCTGATCTTTTAAGCAAGTAAATTTTTTTGCTTTAGAATTAGGCCTATGAAAAGGTATCTAAACTTAATTCTAAGAGCACAGTATTTATTATATGCTAAATGGCTCTCTTGTTCTTTTTATTTCAAATTTCTTCTTGAATATTTCATGATAAAAATTACAGCAATATGTCCTATGTAATTCCTAAGAGATATATTCTGCTAAAACTTATGGAAAATTTACCAAGTTTCTAAAACATGATCTATTCTGTTTTTGATGACATTTTAGAGTATTTGACGATAAATAAATGAATTAAAATATTAATAAATATAGCTATATGTTTGAAATAGCTTTCTTAATACAGGCTTCTCTACTTTTCATGCTGTTTTCCATTCTTCCTCCTTCCTTAAACTTTGCAACAGGAAATAAATCTGATATTGTCTTCAATAACTTTTAGTTTCATAAGAATTTGGATTTGATTGTTCTGTGATAAAAAGCTCTAAGTAAAGTGGTTTCTCATTTGTAAGAAATAGAAAGTTCAGATTGAAATGCATTAATACAATATTTCTCAATCTATGATTCACGAACAAGTAATCCTCAAAGCCTGCTTTTGTGGTGTTCCTAGATTAAAATTTTGTTATTTGTACAAAATTAAAGATGATTTTACATCATTTTTGATGATGGCCTGATTAAGTATATAGATATATCTTCCAGATGTATTCTCAAAACTAAAAGTAAATATCTATCTATAATGCTCGTAGACTATTTTCAATGTTCAAGAGAAAATATAGGGATTTCAGAGGAAACTTAGTTTGCAGATTAGCTGTGTAAAATAGAGAAAATTTTCACCATTTCTAATCTGAGAATCTCTTTTAGTAGAAAATCATATTGTTATTGGACATATGATTAAGAATTTGACATATGATGTATGTTCGCATTTCAAAGTTCTCAAGTCACCATTTGAAACTTACTTTCTAAGTGGTAAATGGTATAATGAATTTTCATGGATTCACGATCCTTTAATTATGATATTGAAAATAACAACATTGAATGAGACAGAACAGTTTATCAAACACTGGAATGACACATTTCAAATGAAATTCCAAGTAAAAGGTATGGTTCATTTCTGAACTGAATAAAACAATTCCAACCAGTGGTGTTCGAAATGTGATGATGGGTTATGATTTACATGGGATAGTCTCTACTAAAAAACACTAAAACTGGAATAAAAAGTATGGCTAATAAAAAAGGAGGAACTTTTGAATTAACCTGTGACACTTCATCTCTACTATTCCATTTCACAGCTTCCAGTAATTTTGGCAAAGAGTCAGGTATTGTTAAGCAAACACGACGCATTTTCCATAAGAATTCCTTTTCTTGCTCTGATATTTCTGATAATGGATCTCTGTATATGATTTCTTTAAGGGCTTCAATATCTGCTGGAGTTTCAGAAGGCTGTTAAAAAACGAATAATAAGCTTTAATATCAGTCTGTGTATTAACAAAAATCATTATTTTAGCATTTTTTAATAATTTGAGCTACAAAACAGATCAGAACACAATAAGCACTATTCTCATGGATACACAATCGAGAATGAGCAGAGATAAATTATGCCTGAAAATATCAAATAAAATCACACAGATAACAGGTATATAAAAATTCTGTATACATAGAGATCAGGATAAGAGATATTCTGTATACAAAAAAAAAAAAAAAAAAGAGAGAGAGAGATCAGGATAAGAACTATATAATCAATATACGAGCTGTGACACACACACACACACACACAAAAAAAAAAAAAAAAAAAGACTGGACCAATAAATCACTGCACTTAAAGAATCAGTTCTCTGCGACATTATCACCTTCAAAGTCATCACACCCTTCAGCATTCACACACTTCTACATTTGGTGCTGCCATTGCTGGCAACTGTTCTGGAATGAGGTTTTTGGAAGGCCCTTCAGGGGATTCTCTGTTTCTGCCTGAACCTCTTCAACTGAGGTAAAATGGGCAAGATTTAACTTAAGGAAATAATAATAATAAAAAAAAAAGTTGCATGGAGCCAAATCAGGTGAATAAGAAGGATGCCCCATCACAGTAATGTTTTTGCTGGTCAGAAACTGCTTGATAGATAGGGCCATGTGAGGGGGTGCATTGTCCTAGTGCAACAGCCATCCATCTGGGCGGCCAGCACGTTCATCATCTTCCACACTGTTTTCCCCCTAAAAACCGATTATGCCATTTTATCACACATGCACAAGACAAAGTTTCATCTCCATAAGCCTCAGTTAACATTTGAAATGTTTCCTCCATGGTTGATTCGTTAAGTTTCACAAGAAACTTGTTGATTCGCTGTTCAGTTTTTATATTAGACATTTTTCCGGCAGAATGCAGTTTCACATGTTCACTAAATGATGCAGTACTCGCCACTGGGGTGATCGGTTAAGTCGAAACTGGCCGTATGGATAGAAGAGATGTGTAGCATGACGTCACTAAAACAGTTGTCGCCATCTCCACTCTTTTTTTTCACGCTATACACTTTTTTTTTTTTTTTTGTTTTTTTGTTTTTTTGTGTAACACCTCGTATATTTCCTCCTGACACAAGTATAATTATACCTTGCATAAATTTATCTGTCTTCCATAGTATCTGTCTTCCAGTTTGGCCTTGACTTCTAGATAAATAGATAAAGTGGTGTTGGATAACATGATGTCCAGAATATCTCATTCACTTGGGTCAGCTGGTTTGTATGTAGATTCGATTGGAACATGTAAGGTGATGGGATGGTTGCTAATGAAGCTGTGCAAGATGTGACCATTAGCATTGGTACGCCGACAGCCCCAATCAATATGTTTAGCATTGATATCACCAGCAAGGATGACTTGATTATCATCAGAAAATAAATTTTTAAGCATTCTTCTGAAAGTCTATGATGAGGTGGACAACTACTTTATGCTACTATTTCACACATGGCAACTACTTTATGCTACTATTTCAACAAAACTGATCTAGAGCAGCAAACACATACATTTTTACAGGCATATTTTAGTCTATCTTTGCAGCAAAATTTCTCATAACTGAGGAAGAGAGATTTATTCTATACTTAGCCCACTAATGTTCCAGTATTTACGGTTATATATATATATATATATATATATTCAGTTTTCAATAATTTATTTTCAATTTTCACACTTTTTGGAATTGGTACTTAAATTACTTAATTGATTGGAACTGATGTTGACTTCAGATTGAAATTCATTGTTTTGGCTAAATTTGCACTTTTGATGAGTATTTCCATTTCATTAATTTGATGATTATATTTATCAAACACTTAAATTAATAATTTTATAGAAGTAGATCAAACCATCCCAGGAAGATGATAAAACTGCATGACGAAACCTACTACATTTAAATTATGAATCAAAATTAAAGATGATCCCTTATAATTTCTGAAAATTTTTTGTAATTTATTTAAAGTGGAAATACCAATTATATAAAATTTTTTAATACATTATAGATTATTCTTATTTTTATAATCCAGACTGACTTTTCAAGGGGTAATAATCAGAATAATCCAAGAGAACTGTATAATGTTTCTTTTCGCATGACCTTTTGAGCATTTAAAGATAAAAATAAAATACACAATAAAATAAAATGGAAATAGAAATGAAAAAGGTATTCATTAGTTACACCTCATACTCAAATAAATCACGTGATAACCCTGCCATGATAAAGTCACACACGTATAAATCTTATCTTAAATTACCATAAAAATATAAAACGTAACTGAATAGAAAATCTAGTAAAAACACATCAATTAAGATTGAAGATATAGTCGTTGATTTAACCATAGAATTTAGACTTACTAAACATCTCGTAACAAATTTGCCAATAAAATGTTGTAAAACGCATTACTGTAGATTATTAAATTTATCTTCATTTCAAGATCTACAGATCTTCTTTAGTGATTCCAAGAGAAGTGATGACAGGAACATGATCCGAAGACAGTTTGGCCTTGACTTCTAGATAAATAGATAAAGTGGTATTGGATAACATGATGTCCAGAATATCTCATTCACTTAGGTCAGCTAGTCTGTATGTAGATTCGATTGGAACATGTAAGGTGATGGGATGGTTGCTAATGAAGCTGTGCAAGATGTGACCATTAGCATTGGTATGCCGACAGACTCAATCAATATGTTTAGCATTGATATCACCAGCAAGGATGACTTGATTATCATCAGAAAATAAATTTTTAAGCATTCTTCTGAAAGTCTATGATGAGGTGGATTGTAGATTGACCAAAAATGAAGAGTGCTGTAGTTCAGAAGAACAACAGGAACCACAAAACTTTCATATCCACCAATATTATTAGTTGAAAAAGGCAGGATTACAGAGAATTCTTTACATGAATGGCAGCACAACCATGTCTATGCATCAGCCTGTCACTTCTGTATATGCGATAATTTGGAATGTAAAGTCTATCAGCTGGGATCGTATGGGTTTAAACTATTAATAGTAAAAGATAATGCTAAACTTTTTTTATACTACTGAAATAATAAAAGAAATTAAAACTTACAAAAATTCTGTAATCAACATTCAAACAACTTGTAAAAATCAAAATGGCACTATTCCTCTTTTCTTGTTAAGAACACGTGGAAACTATGTAGCAAGGTGCCCATTTCCTGTGAACTTCAGTCAAGCACAGTAATGGTCAAATCTGACAATGCATTTTGCATTAAAAAATCCTACCAAATTATCCCAAAAAGGCTTAGACATTTGGCATTACAAAGATGAAACATGGCATGATTATTTAAGATTTTCACCCGTGTGTTGTAAAAAGGGCGAATAAAATACGTACCCAGTGTCCAGAGGTATAGCTGAGTATCCTGCCTCTGAAGATTATATCAGGGGATTGGGGGTTGGGCATGACTGTAACAACCTCATTCAATAAAAACCTATTGTTTACGAAATCAAAGGAAGAATTTTCTGGACTGTGTGTGTGTGTGTGTGGAGACAACTTGGAAGGTATTTTACGGATCTGAAATTTGGAACTTATAATTTGCATTCACTTTATAAAAGCAAAGAACATTCTGTTTTAATGGAATTAATAGATGATAATATAATTAACTTAATCACACTTCAAGAAATGAGATAAATTGGACAGGAAATTCAGGATGGCAGAAATTACACTATGTTTCATATGTGTTCTCGGGAAACGTTTACCACAGGTTTCATTGTCTATAAGAGGATTAGGCATATTATTATTGATTTTGAGGCCAAGTCTCCCCAGTTATGCAGAATTAGACTGACAGGTAGATTCTTTATTTATAGTTTAATAAATATATATTCATCACTGCAGGTAAGGATGAAGAGGAGAAGGATACATTTTACAAAAGAGTCCATACACTGTAATCTGCCCGCCCAAACATGATATCAAGATTGTAATGGAAGATGCAAATATTAATATAGGGAAGGAAAATAGGTTCAGGCCTACCATTGATAAGTATAGCTTACATCACGACTCAAATGACAATGAGAAGAGACTGATATATTTTGTTATAGAACATGATATATTGGTGGCCACTACTTGCTTTCCACACAAAAGTATTCACAAAATGACATAGGGATCTCCAGATTCTGACGCTTTCAATCAGATGACCACATTGTAATTGACACCAGGCATGTATCAGACATATTACATGTAGGTCATTTTGTGGAGTGAATTTTGACTCTGACCTTTCCTTGGTCATGATGAAAATCAGCAAGAATCCCTAATGCTCATAAAAATCAGGGAGTGATATAAGAGAAATTTAACTGTCTATTGTTAAAAGTAAAAGATATAAAACAGAGAATTATGAATGAAATTACAATTAAATTACAAATGACTTGGAAACTCAATTAAAAAACCTCAAATTGGAATAACTGGAGTATATAGATAAGAAATGGAATCTGTTAAAAATTTCTATTATTGAAACTGGCAACAGAGTCTTAGGAAGAGCAGAAAAGAGAAGGGGTGACTTGGTTTGATCAAGATTGTAGGGCTGCCACTGACCTTAAAAATAAGCTGCTGCAAGAACCAATGACAGAAATGAACTCGAAGAGGGTAATCTGCCTCTTGCAAGGCTTGGACTCTCTGCAAATGGTATGGGTGCAAACCATTTTCATGCAATACTCTCCAAATGGTGGAATGACTCAGCTGCAGATGACATGCAATAGTTCTTGTCTGAGGTGATTCATGCACAATGCTCAAGATGGATTCTTCAATGTGAGGTTGTTGTGCAATTCTTCTTCCATTCCTAGCGTCAGAGGTGGCTTCAAATGACCCGTTTTCACACAGCGGCTGATGCAACCTCTTGAACACTGTGTTCGGCATACGCCTGTTCGGAAATCGTTCCTGGTCCATAGCGCTGCTCTGCCGTTCCCATTAGCAGCACCATACATGAGATGCATGTCAGC